TCCCTTGGGAACACAAGAGGAACAAGAGCTATGACCTGGGAATATTTTTACTGTGCTTTTGCTTTCCAGAGTAAATTCATCTTTTCAGTTTATGAAATTGTATGTTGGATGTAGTATTTTGTATTTTTATACATGACATTTTAAAGGGAGAAATTGCTCTTTTGTATTGACTCAGTACTTCTCAGATTGTTAATAAAGTAATGATTCAAGTTTTCATGTGCTTAAGCTGAATTAATATTTTTTCCACATTTTTAAATTAATTTTAATAGACATTTACAGAGGTTTTGGATTTCCATCCATTCATTGCCGCACTTTTCTCCCTGCCCACCCCTCCTCACCCCTCCCCACCAGTTCGCTCCCCTTTCTGAAAAGAAAAAGAAAAAAAAATAATTCCTTCATTAATATACAATTAAGCTGAATTATTTTAGCTGCCTAATTAGGAAAGTTTGGAGAACCTAATACATAGAGAAGAAATCTGAGATGATTAAGAATTTTAAATCGTTCAAGTAGATGCTTTCAGAATTTCTTTATTAGAGATTTTTAAATTGGTTCCAATTTTACTTACTGAGCACATTACAAACACATTGATCATAAAATTGGAATTTGGATGGAACCGAAAAATGATGTCAAAGTAGGAAAAGTTACCAGATAGATGTATTTTTATGTTAACTCATACGGCAGTGTCATTGTGTTTCACACGCTTTTGTTTATAGAACACTTCTTTTTATACCACCAGAGACAGAAAAAGCATTCCAGTTATCATTTATAAGCCACGTCCTAATTTCAGAGATGCCCAAGTGCAAGAAAAATATTTTAGAACCTATGGACAATTGAGGTCATAAATGTGTAATAAAACAAGAAAGTAGTTGGGGGAAATAGATTTTCACTTTTTACTGGTATTTTCTCCAGAATAAATTGTTGAATTGTAAATACTTTCTAGTTTATTTTCATAGAAAAGTGCTAATTAGAAATGTTATTTATTTTAAAGAGCATTCAAAGTTCTATCATATTAATTTTGTTATTTGAGGGGTTTCAGAATGAGCCTGGTGATGACGTTTTCTAAAAGAGAACACTTTTTTACATTGTCACATAAATGAAGTTTAACTGAAATAGACAATTGTGTTCCTTTTAGAATGCTGTCTTGTCAGGTTAAGTTGATTTGATCCTTAAAAATGACCCACATGTAAAATTTTGTACAAAGAACAGTTTGTTTTCAGTTTATGGAAGGAAGAGATCCAAACTTCATTTCCATTGCTTTCAAATAAAAATATTTAACACAGGTATTCTCTGTGTAAAATACAGAGTACATGGAAAGTTAATGCTTACCATCATTTTTATTAGTTGCTTTCCAGGAGTGTTAAATGCATTAGTAGTAAAATATTTACTAACCACATGTATTTTATCCTCTCTTCTTTGCCAAGGAAGATTAGTTTACTAGATAGATATTTAGGATATAGTAATTGGTGGCCTAGTGGTAAGAAACTGTTCTGCAAACCTGAAGGCACGTAGTTCAGATCCACCAGCTGTTCTATGGGAGGCTGGGCAGTCTTTTTCTGTGTGACTAACTGCCTCTGGTCAGGTATGGGTCGGTTCTGACTTAGTGGTACACAACAACAACTTTTAGATTAGGATACTGTCATAATCTATAATGTCATACAGTAATCATATAACTTTTGATTAATGTTAGCCCTGAAATATGTACACTAGTAGGATAGCATTTATAAACTAGGGCTTATTAATAGATATTATATTGTCGCAGCAGGATTGTATATTTTGGCCTGAGTCTTCAAGATTCTAAGGCCGAATTTTTACTTTGCAATGGTGAGTGAAGAGTTTAAGTCTCTGACCATATAGTTGTTATAATAAACAATTAAGTTTGTAACTGAGCTGTTGTTGCTAGGTGCCATTGATGGAATTGACTACAACATATAGCGACCTTACGAACAACAGAGCCTGCGCCCATTGTTATAGTCCCTGTATTGTTGTTGTTGTTGTTGTTGTTGTTGTTGTTGTTGTTGTTGTGTACCATGGAGCCAGAACCAACCCATAGCCGACCCTCTGGCGGGACACTGTGTAGTAGTCATAAAATGCCTTGAGTAGGCGAGCTCTGGTGGCCTAGTGGCAGGAAACTGTACTGCAATCCCAGAGGTGCATGGTTCAAATCCACCAGATGCTCTGCTGAAGAAGGAGGAACATTCTCCTCCTGTACCAGTCAGATCCAATTTGACGGTACACACATAAAAAATAAAAGTAAAAATTTAAAAAAAAAAGTCTTGAGTACTAGTAACCGTTCCAATCCTCACCCCCTCTCCCCAGAAAAAGAGATTAAAGCTACTGGCCTGGAGTCGCTATTCCTATCCATAGCCAGCCTGGACAGAGTAGAAATGCCCCATAGGGTTTCCAAGGCGGTAAAGCTTTATGAACACAGACTGTGTCATCTTTCTTCTCATTGAAACTGTTGACCTTGTGTATGTGTGAACAGCTGAATGCCTAAACCACAGCACCACCAGAACTCCTGCTCTACACTGAGGAGACAGACAAGTCACATAGAGGACAGTAATAATTGCATAATGGTCTCCTCTGTGCCACTCTCTTCCTCATCTAAACAGAAACTACAAACATACAGAACCCGTGAATCTCCTGCTTTCAGCAGCTGTCCACTGACCAGTCCTGTGGCTTGGATGCCGCAGTCTCTGTTTTGCTATTCTCTTCTCCCCATACCCCATTTTAATTGTTGTTGGAGAGGAATTGGGTAGTTTCTTTTCCTAGTCTTCCAGTCAGGATTTACATTCTTTTTTTATATTCTTTTTGATATTATTTACTGTGTCTCTCTCTCTTCCTCGCGAATCCTATAGTTGTAGGTAAATCTGTAGACTTGGTCAGTCAGAATTTTTTTTAACTCCCAACAAAAATACATTATAGTTAGTGATACATGTGTAACTTGGCACTCTAAATAAAAAACTGAGCATCATGGAACAGTTCTATTTCAACCTTTCCCTAAAGCATTTTCTTTTCTTAAAATAGGGCATGAATAACTGAAGGGTATTTATAATCAGGACCACTAGAGGTCTCCCACCTACTCCTTCTGTTGTCTGTGGCAGCTGCAAAGGATGTGCTGTCCAGGAGGCTTTGGCTTCCTGTTGACCCCTAATGTCTCCATCTCAGATCCTTTTGTTTGCCCTTTTCTTTCAGACATGGGTGAAAGAATGCTTAAGAGTTTTAGAAATAACTAGTTTTATTAAAGTTTTAAAAGCTTCTATGTAGCATTTTACTCCCTTGCTTATAGTTTTTTTTACTCTTGTCCTGGGCAGGAGGGGTGGGGGAAGGGTGCTTCTTTTTTCTTTTAAAATTCTGCCAACCCTTGTATTTAAAGAGCTTACTTGCTTGACAAACATGAGGTAAGGTACTGTTTATAGAAGTGGCGTTACTTGAGTTGCCTGTAATTTCTTGTTATTTAATCTTAACATTTTACAGCCTCTACTAAAGTTACAGTTTATTCTGAGAACAAGGGGAAGTCATTGTGCACTAGTGCACTATTTTTCTTGGTGGTGGCTTAAAATAGATTTTTGTCTTTCTGGACAGTTATTAAAGAGACAATGAGTAATTTTATTTCTACCCTGAATTTTTGCAATTTATAATGCAAAAAAGCCTCTCCTGTTCGCAGGTTACCTTGTACCGTTGTCTGTACCCATCCACAGGTTAGCTTTATCAACTCCTACTATTCCTGGGTAGATGAAGCCGGGCTAAAGCAAGGTGGTTTTCCTGCTGTTCTTATGCTGCCATTTTTTGGTGCAGACTCATTTTTCAGGCTGCCTAGAAAATAAACAGCTTTAATGGATAAGGAGTTACATTGCCAACCCAAATCCACCAGCCGCTCTGTGGGAGCAAGAGGAGCAGTGTTAAGCGATTTACAGCCTCTGAAAATCCGCTGGAGGGCCAGCTCTGAGTCACTCCAACTCAGTGGCTGATAACAACACAAAAAACAAACTCTAAATATTTAGCTTTTAAAACAAACAAGATGTAACCAATAATTTACGTCTCATTTTTAGCCTCACTTGATTGACTATCCATCCCTTTAAGGTGAGAAGTTTAGTACCTAGTTTTCCAAATGTAAAGTACCCCCAGAACCACTTATTATCATTTCCAGAAATATAAAACAAGATGCAAAAACTGGGAAATGAAATGTTAAGTTCTCCTGAAAATTAGCTTTCATGTGGCCATTCCCTGCATAAGCAGTATCTGCGATTATCAAGTCCAGAGTTTGCATTTTGGCTTATTTTCCAAGCCATTTTACTTAAGAATTCAGCACATACACGCATAAAAGTCTCTGAAGGCACTAAGAATGAAGCATACAAACCTCAGACCCCCCCCAAAAAAAAGGGGGGACTTAGGGGATAAGAAGATTTATTGTAATAGAGTATAGTAATTGCAATAAAGATACTATAATTGATTCGAGAAGTAAGAGCCCTTGATAGAATGGTTTGGTTATCAAAATTGGTAAGTGAGCACTATAAAAAAGATGCAGACAAGCTGCAGGCAAGAGAAGCCGATGTAATTTTGCCTTAAAGACAAGTAGGGATGAGAGAGGAGAGGTCAAGGAAGAGGACCCTGCAAGCAGGAAGTGGGAGTGCGGGAGGCATGCTTGGAGGAGAGTCGTGAGTGCTGTCTGACTAAGGAATGACTCACCGAGAGGAGGTGGCGGGATCTAGCAGGTAGGAGGCCTGGAAGTTAAGATCTGCTTTAAAGAAGTTGGGCTGGAGGAGATGTTAGGGGATAACTCAGTGAAGGCTGTGTTTCAGGGAGGTAAATCTGGTGGTGGTTTTTACAGTGAAGTGAGAAAGCCCCGTAGTGATTCAGGTGAATAGGGAAAGATGCGTTATCTAAAGATGCTGGTGAGCTCAGGGTTTCGAAGGCACCAGGTAAACACAAAGGTGGTCAAACAGAAACATGCAGCAGCTGCCGGGAACTTGATGTTAGTGACGTCTCCTCCTTATTCTTAGTTCTAGAGCCAATACAGAAGCCTCATGAAGGTCCTGGAGAAATGGGGAAACCAGTCGTCATTCCTAAAGAAGACCAAGAAAAGATGAAAGAGATGTTCAAAATCAATCAGTTCAACTTAATGGCAAGTGAGATGATTGCGCTCAACAGATCTTTACCAGATGTTAGGTTAGAAGGGTAAGTATGTGATGTGGTCGTGGCGGTCTCTAATGGAGATGCGGATGCATTCTGATTCACAGGAAATAGCCCTTTCATCCTGGTTGTTCTTAAAGTGAATATTAAATCAGTAAGTTCACTTTAAAAGTTAAATGTTGATGAATTTGACCTCAAGTTACTGCTGATCATTCAGACTGTATGTTTCGTTTCAGGTTCTGGGAAATCATTGTTTATTCTTAAAAAATTAAGGATATTTTGAATGAATGATTATTAAGCATTTATATGTTCAACTCCCCTCCCCCCCCCAAATAGATTTCTTTTTCCTAAATGGAGGTGTAACTTAAAATACCTTGAAACGCTTAAGGGTGTTGACTCTTCTCCATGTGTGTACACCTGTGTAAACATCATTCAAATCAAGATACAGAAAGAACATAAATTGTTACTCCTAAAAGCTCTTTTCTATTTCTTTCCAATCAGTGTTCTTGTTCCCAGAGGAAAGCTTTCTAAATTCTCTAAACATAGATTAGATCTGCACTCTTGTAACCTCTTTACAAATGAACCCGTATGATATGTCCTCTCTTGTCTTTGAGATCCACACCATTGCATGCTCAGTGTTACTAGTTTACTATTTTCTATTGCAGTGTAGTGGTTTGTTATGTGAATATAAACCCACTGTCTTTACGTGAATGTAAACCCACTGTCTACATTGCTTCTGACTCTTGATGACCATCTGTTAGGTTTCTGAAGCTATAAACCTTAATGAGAACAGCCTGTGTGTTACCTGCAGAGCAGCTGGGTTTGATGGGTTTGAACTGCCACCCTTCCACCTAGCAGCCCAGCGCCTAGCCCACTATACTACACAGGCTTTGTATAGACCATAGTTTATTTACACACTGATGATCATTTAGGTTGTTTTCACGTTTTGACTATTAATTGAGAAAGCTGTTGTGACATTCTTGTACGTGTTTCTTCTTTTTTTTTCCTATAGATAGGTATTTAGATTTTAAGGCCTTTTGTTTTAAAATCCTTGAAGCCAAGTATATTGGGTGCTTGTGGGATAAAGCCATGAAATCTGACCCCCAGTATACTTCCTTGGTCATCATGTCTGTCCCTGTGACATTCCCCTTTTGTCTGAGTTCTCATTCTAGAACAATGGAGTGCAGCATAAAACGTGAAAAAAAACATGCAGGCCATAATACAGATTATTCTCTCCCAACATTATGTTGAATTAGTTAGAATATAAGGTTATCTGTAACCTACAATTTCACATTTCACTGTTTAATTTACATGCAGTGGGCCACATGTTACGTATATTCTGAAATTTATCCACCTTTCTGAGTAGAGTGATGAATCCTTGCAGTGTTTTAACTGTGTCCCAAAGCCAACATCATCTTCTTCCACTGGGCATAAGTCTGCTAGCATCTAGCAGGTAAACAGTGCCCACCTGGATATTTGTATGTGCATATAGAGGAAGCGTTCTGTGGAGGGTTTGGTGCTCTCTTCAGTTTAGGGCGTCTTGGAACATATCCTCCTCCAGTAAGGGATAGACTACTGTCTGTAGAGGGAATGGTTAGGAATTGCACTGTCAACTCAGAGGTGAGCAGTTCAAACCCACCAGTGGCTGCCTCGAAGAGAGATGGCAATCTCCTCCTGTGTGATTTACTGCTCTGAAAGCCCTCTAGAGGGTCAGCTATGAGTTGGTTCCAACTCGGTGCTACACAACCACAGCTACTATATATAAAATGATGCTGTTTCTGGAACTGTTAAAAGCAGGCCAAGCAAACCTCCAATGCTAAGTGATAGGTCACTTGGAGCAAGTGTGACAGGAGCACAGGTGTCCTGAGGCAGCGTCCTGTTGACCCGAGAGGTGGCCGCAGTGGTATTTGTTGTGCGGTAATTCATTGAGCTCTAAGTTTATGTTTCATGTTCTTCTCTGTATTTGTGTTCTGTTTCATAATAAAATCACTTTCTAAAAAGAGGGGGCGGTGAAGCAGTGGAGATGGCGAGCCAAGACAGTGTTACTGTTAAAGCATGTTACTATAAAGGGAAGAAACACAAGTGTGGGTGTTGGCTGCGGCAGCCATGAAAGCAAGGAGACTTTTTCCTTTTTTAAAGACAATATGTAGTACAGTTTTTATGTTGATGGGAATTTTTTGTTTTTACTTTTTTTTTTAACTTTTATATTGATTGGCTTACAAAGTTCGTATACACTGTGTTTCACACTATTCTTGATTCACATTGCATTTCTTACAATCATTCCCATGCATTATGTTTTATAAAATTAATCAACTTTGGACCTTGCCCACCATTTCACTATCTTTTCAGGTCCCCGCTGGATCCTTCCCATAGCCTTCACCCCCTTCCCTCCAGCCATCAAACTATGTAACCCTGTGGTTTCACCCCTACCCATCCTCACCCCTTTGCTACCACCCTTTCCCCCTTTGAGTCCCCGTAACTGTTTTACTAATTATTGATGGGAAAACTTAAGGGAGGAGTCTAGCACCAAAATCTTTGGGTGATACAAACTCAGCTGGTAGCAGAAGGTTCAAGATTTCAGTCCACCCAGGGGTGCCTGAAGAAAGGCCTGGTGATCTAATTCTCAGCCAGCCATTCAGAGCCTTGCAAGTACATCTATACTCTGACATGCAAAGGGTCACCTTGAGTTAGAGATGACGCAATAGAACCGTTTAAGATTGCCTCTCACACATGTACGGATGGATCTGCAAGGATTTACGTAAATTCTGAGCCCCTTGGTCTTTGTTTCTGGCTTTTCTTTGTTTAAACTTCTTACTTCTTCAAAATGAAGACCATTTAGCTCATTAAGCATCATTACATAAGTATTCAAAAGGGTACTTATTCATTGTCTTTGTTAGGCTGTTCCATAAAATGAAATCTACCAAATTTATGTTCTAGTTGGTTTGGTTGACGATCATTTTTAGCATTTAATGTCTTCCTGTGATTTGGGATAAAACTCTGCAGGGAATCTCCTTTTCGAGAAGAAGGTTTCCGTTGCTGCTGTTGTTTCTTTTATGAGTTGATTCCCACTCCCTTCTCATGCTTTTCATGCACTCAGTAACTCAGATAACTCTCAGAGACATTATAGCAAATGAAAGAAACAAACCAGTCTGAGGTTATATAGTACCATTTATATAACAGTTCTGAAACTCAGGACTGTAGCAATGGGATCAGTGCTTGCCAGGGATTAGATGTGTGACTAGGGAGACAAGTATGAGGGTCAATTGGGATGATGGATCTGTTCTGTTTCCTGACTGTTGGGAGAATTATACAGGTCTATGCATAGGTTAAAACTCATTGAGCCATGCACACACCCCTAAATTTAGTTTAAAAAAGGATACAGTACCAAGTGTTGGTCCATATATGAAACTTCTGGTACTGCTGTGGGGGTGAGTATGTGAGCTGTTACAATCTCTTTGGAAAATTATTTCAGAGTATTTACTAAAGCTTAATTTGTATACATCCTGCAGTTACTCAACAATGCAGAAATGTATGTATACATAGTGGCCAGATGACATGTGTACGGATGGTTATCGTTACTAAAAATAGCCCCAGAATTGAGCCTCACAGTCATTTTTCACCAAAGCCTGCATTTTAAATAAACCATATCTGCTAAATAAGAAAATAATAACCCAAGCTGAGAAGTACTATAATGTCCATTAACAGTATAATGGAAAAATAATTTATTGTTTACTCAGCACATCAGCAGAGAACTGCTAGAAGTTCAGGCTAGGTTTAGAAGGGGTTGTAGTACTAGGGTTATAGTAGCTGATGTTAGATGGATCTTAGCTGAAAACAGGGAATACCAGAAGAATGTGTTTCATTTATTATGCAAAGGCGTTTAACTATGTGAATCATAACAAACTGACTGACTCTGAAAAGAATGGGAATCCCAGAACACTTGATCATTCTAAAGCAAAACCTATACTTGGACCAAGAGGCAGTCATTAGAACAGAGCAAGGAAACACTGCATGGTTCAAAATTGGGAAAGGCGTATGCCAGGGATGTGTCCTATCTCCATACTTTTTCAACCT